GTCCAGCTGCTGCTGCTGCTGCTGCTGCAGGGAGGGAATTAATAGTATGAATAAATTAATTTTAATTAATTTTTTTAATTAATTAATTTAAATTAAATAATTTAATTAAAAATAAAGAAAAAAAATGACTAAGAAGATGGGTGACCCCAAACCCTAAACCCTAAACCCTAAACCCTAAACCCTAAAAAGTAAGCCAAAAGGCATTAAAATAAAATAAAATAAGAACAAGTATTATAAAATCCCTGGCGTATATAAATTAATAGTAAATAAAGTAAATAATATTAATATATATGTTTATATTCGTAAATTAAATAATAAATAAAATAAATAATATATTTATATTTATTTATATTTATAGATTAAATAATAAAAAAAATAAATAATTATATTTAAATAGTTATATACATAAAAATAAAAAAAAAAAGAAATAAATAAAAAATTATTTTGCCATTTATACAGAGAGGGGCCCCTCAACAAATATCTAAACCCCTCTGCTGCTGCTGCTGCAGCAGCACTTTGCTGCTGCTGCTGCTGCATTCGGACGCTGCTGCGTTTTGCTGCTGCCGCATTTTCTACTGCTGCAGCATTTTGCTGCTGCAGCTGCTGCTGCAGCAGTTTGCTGCTGTTGGCCCAGATTCTGGGTCCGCTGCAGCAGCAGCTTTTGCTGCTGCTGCTGCTTTTGCTGCTGCTGCAGTTGCTGCTGCAGCAGCAACGGAAAAAATAAGCAGCTGTTGCTGCTGCTGCCTTTGGCAGGCAGCAAACGCACATATAATATAGGACGCTGTAGCTGCTGCTGCATGCAGCAGCAGCCGCTGCTGCTGCAGCAGATTGCTGCTGTAAAAAAATGCATGCACCGATACCTCATATCCCGCTGCCGTTGGTTCTATTGCTGCAGCTGCTGCTGCTGCACCTGTTCTTGCTGCTGCTGCTGCTGCACCTGATACCGTTACTGGTGCTAATCCTGCTGCACCTGAAATTGCTATTACGTGTGCTGCTGCTGCTGCTGCTGCTTCTGCTGCTTGTGCTGCTGCTTGTGCTGCTGCTGCTGCTGCTGCTGTTAATCTTCAACTCCTTGAAAAGATACTTTGAGGGGATCGTCGGGATTAAAATCTGACAAAAATTGTACGTCTGCAAAAAAACACAAACCCTAAACCCTAAACCCTAAACCCTAAACCCTAAAACCCTAAACCCTAAACCCTAAACCCTAAACCCTACTTACGAGTCCTCCACTGATTCTTCTTGGCCTCAGCAATTGCTGCACCCAAATCGTCCGTCCACAAACTAAACGGTTTTGGCCATGGCTGCATACAAACCCTAAACCCTAAACCCTAAACCCTAGACCCTAGGGAACAGAATGCAACCCTACAAAAAAGGTTTCACGCTCTATCCAACACAAGTAAGGAAATAAACCCTAAACCCTAAACCCTAAACCCTAAACCCGCTTACGTTCTTGGGTCGTTGGGCGATGACAAGAACATCCCCTACAGAGAATATTAATTTTTCTGCTGCATGCACGTAGATAAAAGCAATTATTTATAACTGTTGTGCTGCTGCTGCTGCTGCTGCTGCTGCTGCTGCTGCTGCTGCTGCATCAAGTTTGATGTTGCTGCAGTTTAAGGGTTTTGCTGCACTTGTATTTACAAAAGGAGAAGGAAATAAAAACACTAAACCCTAAAATAAACAAAACCCTAAACCCTAAACCCTAAACCCTAAACCCTAATAATTACCATCTCCTGATCCTTCACTTAGCCAACGAAATAATCTCCTGCCTGTAGTCGAGGCCTCCGTCTGTACATAAACCCTAAACCCTAAACCCTAAACCCTAAACCCTAGAATTTAAACCCCCAAGAAGGAAAGCAACAAGGAACAAGAAAAGGCAAACAAAGAGAAGAAAGACACCAACAAACAAAGACGAATAAATACTAACGAACTACCACTTGATCTAGGGTTTAGGGTTTAGGGTTTAGGGAGCAAGGGGTTAGGGTTTAGGGTTTAGCTGTTTTCTCTTTCTGCATGAAGACGGACACGGCAACTTGCTGGGGTCTGCAGCGCAAACCAACAGACAAAACCCTAAACCCTAAACCCTAAACCCTAAACCCTAAATCCCAAACCCTAAGCCCTAAACCCTAAACCCTTACCGGGTGTACAGGGCTTGCCCTGACGAGAAGTTTACTTCCTCCTTTCTCGAAGCTCGCCACTGCATGCATGCAAAAAGCCCCAAAATAAAATATAAATATAAATATAAATATAAATATAAATGTAAATATAAATATAAATATAAATATAAATATAAACATAAATATATAAACAAACAAACAGAAAAAAAAACGAACAAACGTAACAAACAAGACAAAAAAAAGAGCAAAACAAATAAAATAAAATAAATAAATAAATAAACAAAATAAATAAAATAAATAAATAAAAAAATAAATAAATAAATAAATAAATAAATAAATACCTCTAGAGGATCTTGAATAAAATACACTTTGTACCATTTGTT